GGTGGCTTGAAGAAGATGCTACGGATCTATTGAGATTTGGGTTGGGGGGGAGAAGATACTTTTTTTTTATTTGGTTTTTTATTTAAGTTTTTTTAATTGTTTAATGTGATAAATAAAAAGTTACCATTTTACCCTTCTAAAATTGATTAAAATGTGGTCAAAGTTTATTTTGATGGTCAACTGACAAAAATTTTGATGGAAACCATTCAAAAGAGCCTCACATAAAACGTTTGAAAAAGTTAAAGGTGATGATTGTGACAAATGAAAGATTTGGAGAAAGTCTTCTAATATTTCAAAGGTTTAAGCTTCTACTGCAATTATCTCTTAGTTTTATATGTCAAGCAACATCTAAAATGCAACATACATTACTACTTGATTTGGCAATTCACAATTTTATCCCATTCATACTTTTTTGTGGGCTTTATTAACTTTCCTTAGTTGAAAATGCTTATACGCATTTCTTATAAAAAGCACAATTGAAATAGAAGAGTTGAAAGGATTTTAGTTTGAGGATAAATTTCTCATTCTCAGCTTTGCTCAAGTTTCGTGACATTAACAATGTTGATTACCATGACAACAATCTGTTTCAAATTTTTTTAATTCTTAACAATATTTATACTCGCGTATTTTAAAAACACCAAACTCATTCAGTAGTCGTATCTGCCATGAATTACATGTATGACTTCAAAGTCATTCTAAAAAATCACACATTTTCCATTGTGATAGTGTTTTGTAATTCATAATAGATCCCATGCTTGGAAATAAAATATCTTCTACACTTAACGTCAACTAGAGTTTTACATTACTTCTCGTTTTCATATAAAGGTGGAAGAACATGACATTTTTCTCTTTTTTCTTTTCCTAAATTTGAGATTTTAACCATGTTTAACAAGATTTTCATCTGTTGTCACCTTAAGAACTACTCAGAGACGGATACGGAGAGACGGGTCTGGGCTATAGTCCCCCCAAGGTCCAAGGAATTTATTTTTTTAATGCATTTTTCTTTTTTCTTTTTTTTTGAAAAAACATTTTTTTTTTGTGTAAATTTTTTTTCCTCGTAGTAGTCCGACTTGAAATTTTGTAACTCGATTTTGGATCCAATTCTGAATCCGTCTCTAGAATTTCTGCAATTTTCCCATCAACAATTGGCATGGTAATAGTTTACCAATTCAAGAGACAATATCAACGTATAAAACCATTATATATCTTCATAATTTAAGATATTCAAAATACTTTCCACTCATAGTCCTAGAATATAAAATGTAAAAATCTATATTGGAAAATGCATACATAATAGAAGTGATAAATATGTAAAAGATTTGAATATCATAATTTTTGATATTATATAGCTCATAAAAAGAGAATTGCTATCACAATATCTGTTATTTTATAGTAACTAAGACGATATACGTTTAAGGGGAAAAAATATGACTAAAGCCAAATGACATCGTTGCCCTTGAATTAGTCACAATCTATTTAAGCACATTAATTCTAATTATATTAATTTAAGTAAGGGCATTATGAAAATTGTACAACGAAGGTACGTAGCATTAAATCATTTGATTGTCACTAAATTTTAAGTGATATTTCAATTTGAGTAACTAAATTTTAATTGTCTAAATTATGCCAGTAACTTCAATTTAATTTTTAATTTCACAAGAATTTGTCACCGGTCATTTCTTAAATCGATGAAAACTACTTAATAGCCATCTATATCACAACATATTTTGATTATTTTCTATGTAATTACGATATTACATGCCAACTTATAGCTAAGTTATATCACCAACAGTCGAGATTTTCTAGGATATTGAGTCAGCAAGGACAACCGTTGATCCTTGATGGCTGTAATAATAAGATTGTGTATTAATATTTATTAAATAATATTAAAAAATTTCATTCAATGTATAAATGCATTAAAACGTAAAACTCACATTTGAAAATATAATTCAATACAACTCAAAATAATGAGGAAAAAAAATACATTTTCCAATCAATATATATAATCAAGTCTCAAAATTTTTATGAACAAGGCAAGACAAGATGAAGTTTATACGTAAAGCATGATTAAACAGTAAAGACAAACTCTGAGCTTAGACAAAGGTTATTCAAAATTTTGAAAATAATGATTTTTAGAATTAGAATAATTTTTTACACCAAAAGAAAAACTGTTATCAAACTCTTAAAAGAATAAAAGCAGCACTTGAATTGTCCAAATTTAAATTTTATAAAATAAATTGATAAAATATATATATATATAATTGTATAGTTATTATTTATTGTATTAAAAAATTAGTTATTGTTTACTGTGTTTAAAAATTAAAAAAAGAAGTGCAGTTTACCTTAAATCTATATGCATTTCGATTAATACGCTTGAGGTCATTGAACTTTCATTTTAGTTGTAATTAGAGCAGTGAACTTTAATGTAGAGCAATCAAGACATTAAACTTTAATTAAAAGCAATTAGGTCCACTCGTTTGGATTCTGTTAATTTGTCTACTAATAATTGCTGAAGTGTTCGTCCAAGTTAAAGAAATGCCACGTATCCATCTGGTTGGTGTTTAATAATTCTACAGGTCATTGAATTTTTCATCCTATTTTTAGTTAGGTTACTATACTTTCAAATAGTCGCAATCAAGTTATTGAAGTTTAACCAATAATACTGTTATTATGAGTCAGAAAACACTTTATGGAACAACTTGGAATTTCGCAAGTGCAAGAAAGTCAAATAGCATATTATTAATATTGGTGGTTACTGGAGTTTCGCCTTGTTACAATCGGGTCATCGAAATTTAGGGCACTATCTAGAGTAAAATTCATAGCACTCTAGAAAGTAGAATTCACGACTTGTAGAATTATTAATCACTAACCACATGGCACTTTCTA